TAAACTCTTGGATATAAGTCTTAGCAATATTTTTTTGGATCTGTTTCCTCAGGCATGGGCCACAAAATCAAAAACAAACAAACAAACTAACTAAAAAGCTTTTGCATAGCAAAGGAAACCATCAACAAAATGACAAGGGGGATGGGAGAATATATTTGTAATGATATATCCAATAAGGGGTTAATATCCAAGATATATAAAAGATTCAACACCAAAAAAAACCCCAATCTGATTAAAAAATGGGCAGAGGACCTAAGAGAAACACTTTTCCAAAGAAAACATGCAGATGGGCAACAGATACAAGATGTTCAACATTATTAATCAACAAGAAAATGCAAATCAAAACCACAATGAGGTATCACCTCACACCTGTCACAATGGCTAGTATCAAAAAGATGAGAAACAAAGCATTGGCGAAAATGTGGAGAAAATGAAACCCTTATGTACTATTGGTGGGAATGTAAATTGGTGCAGCCACTGTGGAAAATGTATGGCAGTTCCTCCAAAAAGTAAAAATAGAAATACCATATGACCCAGCAATTCTACGTCCATGTATTTACCTAAAGAAAACAAAAACACTAATTTGAAAAGATACATGCACTCCTTTGTTCATTGTTGCATTATTTGCAATAGTGGAATAACCTAAGTGTTAATATATGGAAGTAACCTAAGTGTCTATCAATAGATGAATGGAAAAAGAAGATGAGGTATATATACACAATGGAATATTACTCAGCCATAAAAAAGAATGAAATCCTGCCATTTGCAACAACATGGATGGACCTAGAGGGTTTATGCTAAGTGACATAAGATAGAAAAAGACAAATGCCATATGATTTCACTTATATATTGGAATCTAAAAAACAAAACAAACAAACAAACAAAATAAAACATAAACAGACTAAAAAATACAGAGAACAAACTGGTGTTGGCCAGAGGAGGGGGGAAGTGGGGCAATGGACAAAACAAGTGAAGAGGATTAAGATTTATTTTCCAGTTAAAAAATAAATAAGTCACAGGGATGTAAATACAGCAGAGAGAATGCCATAATATTTTAATAACTTTGTATGGTGACAGAGGGTAACTACACTTAACTACATTTATTGTAGTAAGCATTTCTTAATGTATATAAATGGTGAATCACTGTGTTGTACACCTGAAAGTAATATAATATTGTATGTCAACTATACCTCAATTAAAAAATAATTCTACCATAAAAAAAAAGAGCCAGTTGGGCCAACACAGGAGAGAGTTTTGTCCTAAGTAACGAAGGGAGAGGATGGAAGGGAAGCTTCCCAATGCTGGAGGAAGCTTCCACTACAGGAGGGGAAAGAAAGAGGTTCAGAGAGGGCAAAATTAAGGTCTGTGTGGGTGGGTGGGGAACAAAGAGAATGGCAAGGAGATAGACATCTCATCTCTGGGGGGGTCCATTGTGGGGTAGGGATGGAGGTATGGCAGGCAAGCAGGAAGAGGGTAGCACTCTATTCCCATCTCTTAAGGGCCTCAGAGCCTGCATATGGAAGGGTCCAAAATCTCCTCTTCTGATGGTAGCTTAAAGGTGTGGCTGACAAGCTCCCAGAAGGGCAGGCAGTAGGGAAGGCAAAATGACAAATTTCATCAACTTTCCTGCTCTTCCAAAGCTGGAAGGCAAGACTTGGATCTCTTTAGTCTTTACACACCCATGGTGCCTAGTACTGTGCTTTTTCCATACAAGGTTTTTCTGCTGAGTAAGGTGCCCCCACAAGGACACACAAGTTCTCATTACAATCAAGCCTGGACCAGGTCTTTGGGGAGAGTGGCTAGGAAAGTTTAGCTTTCTTAGGGCCTTGGCACGTATGTCTCCTCTGAGCTTGCAACACCCCAGCACTTGCTCTAGACTTCTCTTAGGGACTTGAATTTGAAAGGTACATCTCTGTGCATCCTTAAGTCCCTTACTGAATGGTCAATACTTTGAGCACTGACGATGATGATGATTATGGAAATGAAAGACAACTCATTGAGTGTTCAATATGTGCCTGGAACTTTCTAAGCACTTTATATATATTTGCTCATTTAATCTTTAGTTAACTCTATAAATTCTATTACTATCATCCCCATTGTGCAGGTGAGAAAACTGAGGCAAAGAATTGCTTAGTAACTTTCCAAGGGCACAGAGTCCTAACTGGCAGAGCCCAGACCTATCCCAGGCAGTGAGACCCCAAGACCTTCGTCCCCAATCTGTATGATCTCCCTGTGTGTCTTTATGAGGCCAGGCAGCTAACAGGTGCTCGGTAAAGGCTTGGTTTAAAGAATCCTCACCTCATCAACCCTTATTACAGATGTGTTAACGATAGGAAAGTTCTGATGGATCTGTTCTCTCTGAATGTCAGCTACAAAAGTCTTTGATCTTGTCTACTTGGTTTTGGTTTTTTTTTTTTCTGGCTTTCTTGATAGTTTTGCCTACCCCATCACCCTGCCCAGGCTGCTGCAGAAGTTCTGGAAAGATCAAGGCTCTGACCTCATAATGGTCTCAATGAGGACTCACTCCCAACTTGGCCTGCGACAAGTCCCCTGCCCAGCCAAAACGTGCCCAGCCAAAATGTGCCTTCACCAGTAGGCAAACATCCTGGTAATTCTCACACTGAATCCATGCAATGCACAGATGAGAGATTAACATCAATCCTGCTCTAGAGCCAGGGGAATGGATCCAATGACCCTGTGACCCTTTCAATCTTGAGTCCAAACTGACCAGTCACCTTTGTGGTTTTAAAATATTCACGTTTTTGTTCTTTAACTAGTTCCAGGAAATTAACTTCTAACATATGAACAGTCCTACTTTAAGGCCTGTCCTCCACTCTGTATACTCCTTCAAGGCCCAGTTCAGCCAGTATCTCCTCCAGGAAGCCTCCCTTGCTTATCTGAGCAGGACTGAACTCCTCTTGTTTGGACTGCGGCCATTAGTTTCTCTGTGCTGTTCATTCCCTAGTGCCTCTGTTTAGCTTTCCCTGGTGTTGCCTTAAGTCTCAGCTCTAGGCAGAGCCCAGATTGCACACACACTTGGGTCCCACCCCCAATTTCTTTTAAGCAGATGGCATTCCAACATGATTGATATGTTTAATGAATCCCATATTTCAAGGACCCAAACTGACCAGACATAACTCAGGGGTGGTTTTCTCCATAGGAAGGGAGCTCTGAGTCACAAATCCTGTCCCTGTCCCTCACCCTACTCCCCTACCCTGCTATCACCCCTGCTTGAGTATTAACAACCATTGCTTCAGCTCTATGGTGCGCCAAGCCCTGTGTTAAGGACTTTTCTTGCAGGGTCTCACTTAATCATCCTGATAACTTCATGAACTCAGAATTTCTATCTCCATTCCACAGGAGATGAAACCTGTTGGAGAGATTGCATAGCCTGCCCAAGGTTGGACAGCTAGTGGACAGCAGAGTCAGAATGAGGGGCCAGGTCTGATTTCAAAGACTTTGCTCTTAGTTGCCTGAGGTCTCTAGCCCCTAAGGCAGCCACTCTATCTCAGGGTCTGGTGGGATGGTTCCACCTGCCTGGGGTCACACAGGAGCACATTCCCTTTTCCTGTGGCTGGATCCCCTAGTAATCTGAAGACAGCTCCCGGAGTTGTCTCCCCTCCTGTCTAAATGACCTAGAGTGGGCTTCGCCTCCTCCTGCAGCTGGTTTCTAGACGGACACCTGCCTGGTCACTGCTCTTCCCTTACTCTCCAACTCAACAGCTTAATGCCTCAATGTTTGTTTTGTGACTCTAGGATCTGAACTGAACCCTACCAGCCAGAGGCCCTTTCAACTACAGGCCCTCCCAGATGCTCTGCTATAGACCCACAGCATGGAGCACTTGTTTCCGTGGTAACCCGGGCTGAGGTGAGCGAGCACAGGCTGCGGGGGGCGGGGGGTGTCTCCACGCCTCTCTCTCTCTCTGCCCTCGCGTCTGACCCTCAGTACCGGCCCGGCCAGCCCCTGACTGGAGCCCACGCTGAAGCAAAGGCCGGGCGGCCAGTCCCCAGACGGGCGCTGGTCCCCTCCGGAGCACTCCGCAGGGCCGAGGAGAAGCCCGAAGTTTTCGCGGTCAGTGGAAGATCGCCACTGACCGCCGCCGCCCCTGCGTGGCGGGTTGGGCCGGGGCTCCCGGTGTGGAAAAGCTCGGGCCGGGTGATCGGGTGCGGAGAGCCCAAAGCTGGACTCTCGCTCCGGTAGGGGGGGGGCGCCCTGCCGCCCAGAAGCCCCCACCGCGCCCTGACACCTGGAGGGCATTAGGTGAAGTCGCGCGTTTGGGCGACGGCAGCTCCCCCCGGATTACTGAATAATTGCATAATTCCGAGCGCGCGTTGGGGGTGATGCCCCGTCCCTACCCGGAGTGTCAGGTAACGTTTCGGGGGCCCCGGACTGCTGAGCTGCGCCTGCCACCTCGGCCCGGCCAGCAAAGGCTCGGCCAGCCCTGGGGCTTGGCTCCGTCCCCTGCCGGAGGGTCTCTGGGCAGCTTTCGGCAACCGGGTCTCCCCCAGACCTCCCGGGCCGCGGCGCCCGGCTCTCCAAACTTCAGGGCGCCCCCTCCGCGCCAGACAGGAGGGCCGCCGACGCAGCGCCAGCTCCGCACTCCGGTGCCCTTCCCAGCCCCGGCCGCGCGCCCTCCGCGCTCCCGGGACGCCCGAATGCCCCTGGCAGCGGCGCAGGAACCCCGACGTGGCCCTTGGCAGTAGCCAGAGAGCCCATCGGGGCCACCGGTCCAAAGCGCTTTTCAGTTCGAGCCTCTTCAGCTCTTCCCGAACTCGCTAAACTCTGGCCCTAAGTCGCCTCCGTGCGCCTCGCTCTTTGGCCGAACTTGACGGAGCCGCGACACTGCGTGCAGCCGCTTCCCGGGGGACCAATGTCCCTAAGAGCGGCCAGGGTCCGACCCAGCCGGGCGCACCCCGGCCTGCTCCTGGCAGCTGGACCCGAGGCCCCGGCGGGCCAGGGAAGGGCCCCCAGGGGAAAGGGGGGCACGGGCGACACGTACCTGGCCACAGGCTGAGCGCCCAGGCCACCAGGAGGCCCCTGGGCAGCCCCATGGCCCGCGGCGCGGCGGCGGGAGCCGGGTGCGGAGCGGCGGCGGGCGGCGGCGAGCCAGAGCGGCAGCCTCCTCGGCGCGGCGCCTCGAGCCTGCACTGCGCGCGGTCGCGGGCTCCCTGACAGCCCGGCTCCCTCGGAGGAAGTGGGAGGGCTCGAGCGGCGGGGAGGGGCGCCCGCCGCCTGCCCGGCTCCACGCCAGCCTCAGCCCCTCTGCCACCTGGGCGGGCTGCATGCTGCGGCCTCGCCGCCGTCTCCGGGATCTGTTCTCCCCGCACCCCACCTCTGCCTTAGGAGAAAATCCCGGAGAACAGCTCCTGGGCAGCACCTCACCCGTGCAGCGCCTCCCTCCACGTGCCCACCGCCAAAGTCAGAATCTGTTCAGGAACAGTCATTTGTACTCCTGTTTCCCAGAGATAGGAGCTTCGCAAAGCTCAGAGGGTCATCTCAGGTGACCCGGGACACTGGCCGTGACTCAGGCCTCCTCTGACCAAGGGGAGTGGATGTCCTTCAAACGTCCATTCAGAGACATCCCCCTGTCTCCCTGCACCCTGGAGCTTGGGAGGCAAGGACCACAGTGCTTCTTCTGACTTGGAATAAATAAAGCCCCCTCCACCTTCACTCTGTCCGCCCCCACACCTGAGTCATCCCACAGCATCCAGGAGGAACTGCCCTTTTTTATCCTAAGAGTGAAGCTCTTCTTTGGAACCCAGCTATCTTTCTTTCCAGCTTTTCTAACCACTGGCAATTAAATTCAATGCACATTTGTTACACAAGCTTTTAAGTTAGGGCCTAGACCAGAAGCCGTGGGTGTGGAAGCCGGCTTTTGCGGAAGGGGAGAGAGCTGAGGTACAGGGTAGGATGTGGGGTGAAAGCTAGAGCAGAGGTCCCACAGAACTTTCTCTGGAAAACCTCCCCTCAGCACCCCTCCACCCCCCGTCCTATCCTCACCGGGTCAGATTCCCACGTACATGCTCATTCTCTCTCTCTCATTTTTCTTCATTGTATTTAGTAGAGAAACTACACATCATTTGGTATAATCATTAGACTAACTTTTCTCTCCTTGTCTAGCCTGAAAACACCATGAGGGTAGAAATCTCTGTTTGGATCACAGCTGGTCACTCAGTGCCCAGCACCCAGCAACAGAGCAAGTAGGTGGACGGATGGATAGGTGATCAGCACAGGGGATGGGTAGGGGAACACAGTGTGGAGTGTTCTGTCTGGGAGGGATTGGAGGGCTTCCCAGAGGAGGTGACATTCAGTCTGGGTCCTGCAGGATGAGGTAGGTTTTGAGAAGGCCCAGGTTCATACAAGGATGGTAGTGGGCATTGTGCCTGCCCCTACCACCCCCCCACCCGACCCCAGCAGTGCTGTCTCCTTGCTAGCTACCCTGTATCCTCTGGTATCCTCACCTCTCCCACTCAGCCACAGACTTCGGGGTGGGGGGGGCAGCTGTATGTGTGTGTATAGGGGGAAGGCACGTGATTTAGGCTGAAATGAATCAGTGTACTGCTATCCCCTGGCTGTGGTCTAAGGAAGGGCAGAGTGACAAAGGAAGAAACTTTTTTGGGAAATAAGCTTTCTTGCTCTTCTGAAAAAGCCCTTAGAGTGGATTAACTAACTAACTATCTCTCTCCTACCCCCAAATACCCTCCCAGGCTGACGTAAAGGATCATGTAGTTGATTGGGGTCAGGGTGGAGAACAGAGATCTGGCCTTGGAATGAAGCAGATGCTGGATGACAGAATGGAGAAACTAAGTCCAGGAGGGTCTTCTTGAACCCCCTCAGCTTGCTCCCCTGAGGGCTTTCAGTAACGTGCCAATGAGTCCCCTTTATTGTCTGAGTGATTTGAATCAGGGTGCTTTGAGCCTAGAGCATCCTAACTGACAACAGCTATCCCAGGGGCTGCAAATCACTTCCTGCCTACAGGAAATCATGCTCTCCCTAGTGGTTCTCAAACTTCAGGTGCATGGGAGGGAGTTACCTTGAATACTTATGAAGAATGCAAATTCCCTGAAGATCTGGGAGTCCCGATGGCACCGTAGGCACTCTGGTGTGTGGGGGCGCTTGAAGTCTGAGCTAGGAGACTGCACACTGCTTGCAGAAGGGGCTGGTGCCTGGGTGAGCTGCTGCTGGTCTTCAAGTAGCAATGCTGCTGTTCATTAGCTCACACTGTCCTCATCAGGAGTATGGGGGTGCTGAGTACAGTATGTGTGCCTTCCTGTAATCTGGGAGGTGGGACAGGGAAGGGTGCCTCATTTATTCTTTCAGCAGGTACTTGAGTGGCTCTTGTGCCTCTGTGTTCTGCAATACCCACAAGAGAAGCCCCCACTTGAGCTGAGAAGATGAGCCGTAAGGTCATATTTTTTTATATAACCATTGTGTATTATTTAATCATTCATTTAAATCATTTATTATTTAGTGATGGTTAAACATTATTTAAATCACATGAGGTAGTTGAGTATAGGTGACAAATGCGTGGTCCCGGTTCAGTTTGGAGAAGCTCAGAGAATTGGATGAAGGGCTTAATGGAAGCTGGAATTTGCAGTGAGCAGTAATAATAAAAATAATAATCCTTTACATGTACATAGCATACTTATTTTTTATTGAGATGTAATTCCCATAACATAGAAGTAGCCATGCAATTAAGCAGTTTAATATATTCACAAGGTCATGCAACAACCACCACTAATTTCAGAGCATCTTTCATCCCCCAGAAGAGAAACTCTGCAATCATTAGCAGCCATGCCCCGTGCCCTCACCCAGGCCCCTGGCAACAATCACTCATCTACTTTCTCTTTGTATTTGTCTATTTGGGACATTTCATGTAAATGGAATCATACACCACGTAGCCTTTTGTATCTGGCTTCTATCACTTAACATAATGTTTACGAGGTTTATCCATAATGTAGCAGGTATCAGCATTTTATTCCTTTTTATTGCCAAATAACATTCCACTGTGTGGATATACCACATTTTGCTTATCCACTCATCAAGTGGTGAATATTTGATTGTTTCCACTTTTTGGTTATTATCAATGATGCATCTATGAACATTTGTGTACAAGTTTTATGTGAACACGTATTTTCAGTTCTCTTGGATGTATACCTAGGAATGAAATTTCTGAGTCATATGGTAACTGCATGTTTAAGCATTTGAGAAATTGCTAAACTGTCCGCCCAGTGCCTGCACCATTTCACATTCCCACCAGCAATGTATAAGGGCTATCCATGGTATTATACTAATTTTGGAATCTCTTTAACACCTAAGACCTCATTTAATATTCACAAAAGACCTGCAAGGAATTATTTTCAGTTTTTAAATGAAGAAATGGTATTGGTAGGAAGTCTTTCAGTTGTAAGTAACAGAAACTCTACACAAACTGACTGAAGCAGAAAAGGGTGTGTACAAGCTCATGTAAACAGGAAGTGCCAAGTTGATTTGTGACTGATATAGCTGGATCAGGAGACTCAAATGAGGCTCTTGGCTTTTTCTCTGTTTCTTCTCTCAGTTTTGCCGCACTCTGCTGTCCTTTTCTACAGCAGACAGGATTCCTCTGCCTGCTAGAAAGATGTGGCCAGAAGGCCCAGGCTTATCCTTTATAGATGTTAAAGGGAGAGAGACAGCCTTCCTGCCTGATGCAGCAGACGAGCCCAGGGTTTTGCTTCCTGCCCACCCCTGAAGCCATCAGTATCTGGAGAATATGGTGCTGGAATTTGCCTAGTCTGGGGCACACGCCCAGCTCTGAGCAGTCAGGAAGAGAAGGGCATTATGACTGACACCCCCACCAAGGCCACGTTTTATAGGAGAGGAGTTCCTAAAACAAACAGAAAAAGGGGATGACAAAGCACACTAGATAGATAAAATCCATAGTTGCTAAGCCCACTTTAGAAACCCTGTTTTCCGGGTTGCTGGACTTTTGACGTCAAAAGAGGGGCAATCCCTGGCCAGCTGGGACAGATAGGTTCCCCTTTGTCTGTCTCTCCTGGACCCTCTGCCTCATTTTCTTCAACTTTCTTCTCCAACAATCCTCTCCCCACCCCCGCACCTCCCGGCCCAGGTAGCGCTCTCTCCCACCCTCTGTTTCTTTCTCTCCACCCTGTTCTTTGCTCCCAGGTGTCCCCCTCCAGGGCAGCCACTCTCCAAGTCAGTACTGGGGGAGGTCCACTTTGAGGCAGACCCTGGCTCCAGGGCTCCTCTCTGCCCCTGTGGCCACCCCACCTCACCCCCCAATCTGGCCTCCCTGTGCCTTGTCTGTTGGTCTGTACTTAGGAAATACAAACTTTTTTTTTTAAAGATTAACTTAAGCAAACATACAGTTATTGGGAAGGCACATCTGCCAAAAAAATGATATAAGAAATTCCAAAGCCAAAAAAAAAGGAGAAAAGAAAGCTACAAGATGGTTTTTGTTATCTGCTGTTTGAATGATGAGTGCCATTGATCTGGGCCAATATTGTGGATGCTGGGAGGTGACTGCATTTGTGACACACACATGGCCTCAGAGGGCTTCCCTTGGTCTCCATTATCATGGTCGGTCTCGTGCGTGCCAACAGAGTAAAGGAAGTGAGCTTTGAATAAACATGTTTACACCCGGGGCTTGTGTCTGCCCCAGCCCCTTTCCACTTGAAGTAGAGAGTCCAGTCCAAAATCTTGGGGTGGGATGGATACTCCCTTCTTCCAAATGCTGTGTCTGAGCCTGAGTCTCAGTCGTATTGCCAAGGTCAGTAACTGGGATTTCTACTAGGGTCAAGCCCTGGACACAACCTATAATGTATCCAGGAAGTTATTTTCTGATTTCCATTTCTCAAGCCACAAGTATGTACAACATTTGCAGTAAAGATATCAAAGGGAAGGACTGTGGCCACAGCACAAACAGACGTGCAGGGTGGATGAAGAAACATCCTTTTGAAGAAAAAGTACATCAAAGGGAACAGGAGAACACGAATTGCCTTAAAAGTCTGGAGGTAGCTGTCACCATGCTAGTTCCCTCAACATTTCCACATTTCTGATGCAGCTTACGTGAGCTAAACCCTTGACACTGGGCCAGAGTGGGAAGGCAACATCAGAAACAACTGTCATGGAAACAACAGAAGGAAGAGTGACAACCTGCAACTGAGCACTTAGTATGGACCAAAGGCAACGCCTGCTTCCTTCCCTTTAGCCGTCAGCACAGCCCTCGTGGCTTCCAGGACTTTCATCGTGCCCCTGGCTAGGCTGAGATGTCAGAGAAAAGCCATGAGAGTTAGGGGCCTGGATGGAGTGCACCTGTGTGAAGATGGGCTTACG